AGGGGATTTTATTCTTGATGCATTCATTTGAGCCTCTAAACTGCACACTGTTTACATTCCTTCAAATTAACCCTTTGACCGCGGGACTATTTTTGCTGGAAATTGCTAAAAGGCGTAGAGGTTTGAATTATAAAAAAATATCATCTTACAGAGAACGACAAAACGAACGAATTTGTTATATTTTTAGTTTATTCATACGACTTTTAGTTTCAAAGATAAAAATTGAAAACTTAGAAGACCTTTTCTCTAAAATTAAATTTTTATAACGAACTTCTAACTTTTCAACTTTTACTTTCGAAACTAAGCGCCCTATGAATAAACCGGAAATACAAAAAAGTTTCATCTCATCATCCCCTATGAGCTGATTTATTTTCAAAATTGAGTCTCACCGCCTACACTAACATTTCCATCCTGAAACGTCACAATTTCTTGCATTTCTTGCAATCTCTTCCATCACGACAGAACTTGCTTGCAAAGAGGATGCATATAGAGGTTCTCATTTCTGATACCATAATCAATGGATCTTCTTTTCGGTGCATTCCTTCAAGCGGTCAACTTATAATCTATTTTCACTCCTCCAAATTAAACGTGTCTCAGCGTCTACACTAGAATTTTCTTCCTCGAGCTTAACGTACTTAGACGAGCACACGTTCGCTACCTAATTTTCATCGTTGTAAATTTGAGGCACTGCTGGCTATGAATGGAAAACGAAATTTCGAGGGTAGCACGATGTTTGCAATTTTCGGGGGCTGCCAATGGCGTGTTACGCCGCTCGCGTACGTTGCCGCAATTATTCGAAGAACGTGCTTTCATTCAATTTCATGGTATTCGGGCTATGTTGATTTACCGAATGGACTCGTGCTGGACTGATAATTTAATTAGGATCGCATTGCCCGCGCGTGTTGTGCTTCCAATAATAATGTATGGGTTAATTAATTTGCAGCCTCCGAGTGCGCGCGACTGTTTGGCGTTACGCGTGTAACAGCGCCGCGCGTCGATTACCGCAACTTCTCTTTCGTTTTCGACGATCTGTTCGATGATAATCACGCTGTAAAATGTATTCCGGCAATTCTAGTTTGTTGTCCCGACAACGGCGTTTCTCTTTCATTAAAATTCAATTTGCCATTGAAATCGTTACAGGTATATATTCGGAGTAGCGTGGCCCGTTACAAAAACTCGCAACATTACCATAACAACAACGTGGTGGTCGTATTATAGTTCGATTCAACCAAAAGATCATTTACCATTGGGTTAGTCGAGGCGATTAATTATTTCTAGCCGATTCCGTATAATTGTCCGCGGTCACCTTTGGATTACCAAACGGTAAATTTGAGATTGACTTCTAATGGAATATCGATGATTCAATAAAAACTCTTTACGTGCAAGGGAAGATAGAACAAACTGCCGACTAAGAATTGATTCTCTATTCAAGCCTCGAACGACCAGAAAATTCGCAATGAAAAATTCAGGGGCGCAAAGTGCCTCTTTGATGAATAAAGTCACTCGCCAACAGAAATAATTCCTGAAAGCAACGGCTGGAAAATTAATTTATTTATAGAGCAACCACGAATCGTTCGCAGGGAAGTTCGTCGAAAAACGTCTCGTCGGATGAAATTGGAGACGCGAAAGGGGATGGGAGGATTTTCTGGGGAAAGACTGGTGAGACAGAGTCCTGTGGAGTAGCAAGGTACAACCGCGAACGAGGGCTAATAACCTAGGAAGTTAATTACGGCCGTAAACTGCGAGGGGGCTGTTTGACTACCCCTTGGCAGCGAGGGTGGCTGACATAACGGTGGCCTCGTTACAACAGAGCAGCGCCAATCCCTCGTCTCCGTTGCCCTTTCGAAGCTATCGCACATCGTGAAAAGCTTCTGCCGTCCCTCCCAATCTATGAAAATTAACTTAAATTCTCGTGCCCGGACCGCAACAGAGATCACCTGGGAATTCTATATCACGTGATTTTACCCTGTGCGTTCCGTGGAAGGTCAACACGTTTGCGAGCAGTCATTACACACAAGTAGCCTGATGGCATGAAATTTAATCAGCCTGTGCTTTGCAAACGTTGTAACCGAGACTGAAGTACAGTAGCGAGATGTAATTAACAATGAAAGAAATAATTACGACACAACCTGAGGGACACGGTAGTGAAATACGTAATAAATCGTGATACAATTGTGTTCTATTAAATCCTCGCTACATCGATGAAATAATACTACAAAATTTATCTTGAAAAAATGTACGATCGATAGCGATAAAAATTGCAAGGAAATTTATTTAACGATCGAGAGTGACACGGTACGTGTAAAATTAACAAGCTCGTTTAACCTGTTGAACGCCGTTTTAACCGCCGAGCTTTCTTTATCAATTTTTAAACTACAATGTGAATTATTATTCTATACCGTGTATTCTTTGCCTTCCTTTTCGACGATTAAAAAAAAAAGGAGAAACGTCTCATGAACCCCCGGAAGCTCGCCGGTGGGAGACTGATAACAGCGCTGGAGGTACGAATGTTTATAGTGTGAATAATTCATTGTTTCAGTGAAATTGTCCCTGGCACGGGCGCGAACAATGAATGAATGCAGTTCGCAATAAGCCAAGAAGAAAATTACGCGCATAAATAATGCTCTGGGCGAAACTTTGTTCCCGTTCCGCGGTGGCGTTTCTACATGGGTATCGTGTTAGTCTTTACTCGTCGCTGAATCTGCGTGTATCTTCGAGCGTAAATCAAGCTTGCAAGTGTTGTTTCGCAAAACACATCGTTGCGTTTTATTGCCTCTAACTATTATGCCTCGGAATTTATTATATTCCCGTTATCGTCGTTACGGAACGAGTGAAACGAGAAACAATTCGCGCTTAAAAGTCGAAATCGTCCACACTGCGAAGGTGAAAATGTCAACAAGGCGATATAACATCAGAGACACAAATTACCTCGAGAAAACTTCCCACTATAATGTAGCATCTTGTTCCTCGCCACAGTGATTCTTTGTGATAATGTACGTCGAAAATGTAGAACAACATTTCTTTCTACGAGGCTTCGTTTTCGTGGAAATTGATTCTGAAAATTGTTGGACATATTTGGCGAACGTGTCTGACCATTGCTTACCGTTTCTACTTGCAGTGATATTTCTCCTTTCGGCGATCCGTCGATTTTACTATCGACTGATTAGTTAAACCAATTGAAATAATGCAAGCCATCGCCCATGTTTCCAAGCTCCAATGCAAGTAGAAATGGTATGTATCGATCAGACACGTCAACTGAACCGTACTCAACTGCACGAGTGCTCCGACACTTTTTCAAATTGATTTATTTCGAAACGAGACATCATAGAAAAAAATTATAGTCCACAATATGGATTCATTTTTTCACGAAGAGAACATGCCACTCGTTACTTTTACGAATGATTGTAAAAAAGTGACTGCGCTAGTAATGACGATAACGTATCCCCGCGATGTATTCCATCGTTTTTCGTTTCTGTACAAAATAACGCGCGTCAAAGCACATTTTTGCGAGCGATTTTCGGTAAAGCATTTCCTTCACCCGTGACGTGCCTTCAATCGACCAGAGAAGAGTAGGCAACCTTTACGCTCTTTTTTTTCCAGCGTTCGCCATACATTCCAAATTTGACGAGGATCGGCAGTCAATAGACACGCTGGTATCTTTTTGCGTCGAATCATCCATCGACCCGATTGAAAATTTCGGTTTTATCGAAACTTTGATAAATGGTTTTGATTCCGTTGCATCTGGTGCAGTGAGGACAGTTCAGCGTATGAAACTTTCACGATACACAGCGACGTAATATGTCGGCAGCAGTACCAGCTATAAATGCCACAACACAACGCCAAAGATAAGTGACTATAGATTCAAGTATGACGTAATATTACGTCAGTCGCGATCAACAACAGATTTAAAACTGACGTAATATTGTACAAACAGCA